GTCAGTTCTTGAAATGCAAGTGCAGAGCCGAGCGTCACTGACTGACGCACTGGCCCAGCGCTGTCAGCGGGTAACGATGGCGTTAGGCATTTGGTAAAACCCGTGTGACCAACTCGCTCACACCCGGGCCCGAAGGATCCTGCGTGGCCTCTGGCGTCCGTATTGAGGCCTGGAATGCAATGGGCTGGTCACAGCTGTGCAGGACTGCCGGCCATGGCATGTGGCCAGGCTCTGTACGGGGTGCGCAGACTGAGGAAGAAATGGGCATGACCAACACTTGTGTAACATTAGCTCCTTGTTTCTTGTCTGGTATCAGACTCGGCCACTCCACACTGGGGCTTAGTTATTGCCAAGAAGTAAATAACAGGTTCTTTACCAACCAAAAAACCTCCAAGTCTCTGGCTGGTCCCAGCCCTCTGCTAGTGCAGGGCCAATGCAGGGACCAGCATCTGCGTTTCCAGCAGGAGAGCAGGCCTGATTCTTGCCGTGCTTTATGGAACAGATACAAATAGCAGGTAGAGCAGATGGTGACGCTGGGCTTGGAGTCACTGGAGAACACCCTGCACCATGTGCTCCCGGACAGGCCTTCCGTGTGCGTTCAGGGAAAAGCCAATGCTGAATAAAAGGGACCCTCTCAGGCACTTACGTTACAGTTTCCTCTCTTTAAACTGGGGAGAATGTGATCCAGGCTCCTGGGGGCCTAAGAGCTAGGGAAGTAACCACTTTGTTCAGCTGTGCCCTCCTCCCCCGCCGCCCCAGGTGCTTGGGACAGACAGGCTCAAGCGTACCACTGCAGTTCGGGCGGTGGGTGTGCAGCACGGGGCAGGGAGAAGACGGAGCTGGAGTGAGAAGGCCGGGCTGGAACTTTGGCAAGATGGTGCTGGGGCCGCCTGCCTGGGTGCACGGCCAAGCACAATGCACAGGGAGTATTGAGACGGGCTCTCGTCCATCCTGCCTGCCTGCTCGAAAAGCCCACCCCACTGCACGTGCAGCGCTGCAGGGAGCTAACACCCCATGCAACTGGCCCACCGCATTTTTACAACAGCTTAAAAATTGAGGCTAGATTCAAAGTTGTACAGACTCTACTCTTAAAGGAAATTTAAATTCAGTAGCAACAAGCATCAGGCCTGAAACACTGGGCAGCGACATGCACAGTCCTCAGAGCAGCATTCTGGGCCAGAACCAGGGACTGATCACAACAGGGCAGGGTCTGTGGCTGGGGCTGGATGGTGATGGGGGAGCAGGAACAGCAGTGGCTGGGCAAGACGGCATCGCGCACGTTAGTCGTAGGGCCCTTTATCTGGGCACCAGTGAGGTTACAGCCAGGGCTGGGGGTTCAGACCCCTGCTGCAGACTAGCAGAGTCACAAGCAGGCGTCATTCATATTCTAATTTGCAAAGTCAATCAGGAATAAACTGCACTGGTGCAAATCACAACTTGTTTATCTGCACTGGGGCCTGAGCCAAGGCCGCTACCCCCGGACTGGGAACGGAGCTGACACAGCCCGAGCCCACACCACCGGCTGCAAAGAGACCAGTCCAGTGGGGGGTGCAGAAATGCCTTTTAAAAAGGAGCAAGACAAAAATGTTCACAGCAAATCAGCTTTCCACGAGGTAGCTGGTTCTCCTCCCACTGCAGTAACCTAAGGTGTTGGGAGGACACAGCCGAGGGCCGTTTTAAAATGCCTTAATGGAACCAGATCAAGCCCTGCCAATAGATGTGGGTGATTTGTTTGTGGGTTAGGTCAGTGCTCTGATCCTGCTGTGCTAGAGAGGTTTGTGTGACCCACGTCCACACACACAATCTCTGCACAAATGCCAAACAGGCACTGCTTGGGTAGTGCCAATTAATTCAAGAAATGCCAGGGCATTTTCAGAGCAAGTGCCCAGCTCCCAGAGTGCTGCCGGGGAAGTGCTCTGTGCTGGGAACAGCTGCCCCTGGAAAGAGAAAAAACGGAACAGAAGCACTAATATTTGTAAAACCTAAATAAATGCAATCAGAGTCCTGGAAAACGTTAACCCTGCCAGGGACCAATGATTCCTCATCACCGTTGCTTTATCATTGTTCATAAGTATTACTCTGCCTTCTCTGTGGACAATCCATATTAGATAAGTGCTGGAATAATTCTGCACCCTAAGGTTAGCAGAAACCTAACCACATGGTAGACTACAGATAAGAGTCTGTTTCAAGTTCCCAAAAGCTATCCCCTTGTTATCTATGCAATAGTTATGAGAAAATACTGCCAACATTATACCAAAAATTGAAGTATGCAATTACTACAGTAATGCAAACTTCTGTGGCTTTTACATCTCAGACCACCTAGTGTGAAATGGCTTATCCTATAGCATCTTATTTACAGAAGCATCCTAAAGGGATCCCTATAGCCAACAATGAAATGCAGCCACCTCTAGGGTGAAAAGTGGCATCTGTTTAACAGCACTAGCAATGCTACCTATGAGTTTAGGACAAGAAATGAATATGTATTTGTTGACTGTTATATCAAGTTGACTCAGTGGTTCCACAACATTGTAACAATTAGTCTAAATTCCTGAAAAAGTCCCCTCCTTTTTAAGATGAGATTAATCTTTAATGGAAATGGGAACGCTAGCAGTCTACCAAAGTAATTCATCTGGCAAGCGAGACCAAGCTATCTGCTGCTCAATTGAATATTTCCCTCAGTGATAGCTGTGCACATAGGTCAGTGCTGAAGCAAGTACCTACAAATGCAGTCTGAAATTTTAGGGGAAAGTTGGTACCATATTAGGTAGCAGCCCACACAAGTCAGGCATATGAAACAAGAATAATGATTTTGTAACATACAAAAAATATTTTTTTTTGTTTGCAAAGGCAAAAGATTCTCAAAAATATGCACTGTAGCTGTTCAGTCCCGTGTGCAGTATCCACATTACTGAGCAGCACCTGGCCACAGACCAGACACAGCCGCAAGTCTGGGGGTTTGAACTCCTTAGTTCCACATCCTTGCTCATTACCATCATTTATTATGTGCAGCTGGTAACGATGCTCCATGATTGTCCTCGGAACTCATGTAAACTAAATCCCTGTCTGCCCTGCTCCTTTGAAAGGAATGACTGGCTCAGGCAGGTCGAGAGGCTGCTTACGAAATCTCTAGATTCTGGGTGTTAAGGAAATCAAGCATCTAAAATTAAAGCCGAATGTTTCCTGGACAGATTAATTGAAGGTCTCTGCTCTCTTTCATACTAAGCAGTTACACTGTTTTACATGTACCAAACTAAACATTTACAACTAATCTGCAGTTT